ATGACTCCTTTTCATGTGTTCTTGGGTACCAACCACCCCTAGCACCATGGACAAGATCGTCCTCTGATGTTCCTGCAGTTGATGCGTGGATGCAGAGGAGTGAAAAGGTTTGGGAAGACACACATCAACACATCGAAACCGTTCTGCAGAGGAACAAGGAGCAAGCTGATTGACACAGGAGTGAAAAAGCAGTGTTGGGTTCCTGCACGAGATATCTTGGACCCGGGTCTCATAGCGGATTTCGGATGCTGAACACCCTGAAAAGCCTGCTCTTTGCCCTAGGGGTCGCCCACGAAAGGGGCTCCCTAGCTCTCTCCCTGACCGTCAGCGGGATCCTTGTGAGCAGACCCCGTCTGTCCAGCACCTCGGCAGCTCTGGGTCTGCCCCGTTCAGTTGTCCGGTGGTAGGCGTGGTGGTCGTCCTGACCGGCCTCGTTCCGAGACCACCCCGGACTCTTCGGGGAGGGTACTGTCACGCATCTGTCAAGCTCCAAGACGAACCCAGACTACATCTCCCAGAATCCTCAGGGAGATCACATGACTCTTGAGCTTCCCTCACACACAGAGTCTCACTTAGACTAAATCTCCCAGAACTCTCTGGGAGATCACATGACTCCTGACCTCTCCTTACGCTCCAATCAGCGTTCTAGATCTCCTGAATACTGATTCTCTTCACCTGTGCCTCATGTCATATGACCTTCTTAGTTTAGTTTATAAGCCCGGGCTTTAGCCATAGCTAATTGCGAAGTATTGTATCTTTTGTGATCTACTGAGCGTTCTACTATTTGCCTGTATACTGTTTATGACCAAAGCATAGTAAACATAGTACACATACATTATTAAGCTGAAGTTTCTTATTCGCCAGCTTCTCATTTGAATTTTCTGTTCCACCTTAAATGATATTACAGTTACACTGAAGTGCTTAAATGTAGAACGAATTACTAAAGTTGGCAAATATGAAGCCAACATCAGCTTACATCGAGAAATGCATTAATCTACCTACATAAATGCACCCTTAGTCAACAAATACCTTAAACTTTTGCTCAGAGATATTTAATGAGCAGCTAACGAGCAACACACCAGAGCAGCTGTTGTACGTGCCTCACTAGCTGATCTTCTGTACATTACCTGCTACACTAATGAGTGCACTTCTAATCGTATACGCACTATTTTTACACACTATTTAGTGTGCTAGTATGCGGTTTGGGATGGGACACACTCAAATATATCAGTTTATACACTTTAAAACTGAGATTTAAATAAGTGATCCAAAAAAAATGTGTTTTACTGCCTTTGCTGGATCAGTGATGGCTTGTTATCTCATTACAAACAGCCACAGCACTGCTGAGTGAACTTGATGTTGCCTACCAAAATGGTTGCAGTGCATTTGTGATGTCATTGGAATACTATCAATAGTGAATTGCACTGGACACTGTGACAAAAAATCAGCCTTTAAAAGGAAACACCACATTTGAGTTCCCTGTGAAGGAGATGTTAATTTATTTCCCCTTTGACTGGGGGTTTAAACTTTTGCACACAACATACAACAGCTATCCTAAAAAAAAGTTTACTAAACGCAGATTTTATAAATTCAGGGGGCAGAATCTCAAAAAACATCTCATTTGTAATTCAAGCACTGCCCTTCAGTTGCTGCCAATCTTAATTATTGCTTTAAGACTATACTAATTGTTGAGTTGATTTACAGGAAAATATACAATTGTATGTTGTGCTGAGTGGACAGAAGTGTTGCTTGCTTGCCTGCCTTATTTATTTGTTTACTTGTTTATTTATGTATGTTTATGTGTTTGTGAGTATGTCCCTTAGATGGGAAAGGCCTCAGTTTATGTATGGACACTTACTGGACTGGCTGTGCTATCTCATGGTCTTGTAACCAGAGATGGTGTATTGGATGGGGGAAAATGTTTTTGGCTCCAAAGGGACTGGGGCTTCATCTCCAACATGTAATGTACTGTATTTAGGCACACACTGTGCTTACATGTATTTAAAGGAAAAAGAAATTAATTCTACTAGCAGTCTTGCATCGGATGTCTTTGTTAATGTTATCTGTTTTTGGACCTCCTGAAGTGTGGACCACGTTTTGAACCTTTTTTTTAAGAAGGTTCTCACCAGCCTTAATGGGCATTTTAATCATATTTTGTATCCTTAAAAGTGTTAAAACGCACATTTAACACATTATCTTTGCTCCTCTTTCCCATATTTTGACCCACTTCTGTAGTGTATTTTTAATCCACCATCTTGGGGCTCTATAACCTTTCCAGTACGATATACTTGGCTAACTCCCAATTCAGCATCTCTTAAGCTGCTGGACACAAGCTGCTTCATAGTCTTTGAGAGGGAGGGCCACATACATTTGTGGTCTAGTCAGTAAGGGGCTGCTCCTGTCCCATTCAGACTGTTCACCCTCAAATATTTATGGACATAAATATGACACTACAGACACTAATTTCTTTACAGTGGTGCTGATAGGAACCAGGGGTAGGGATGCCTGCGGCACAAATATAGTCATTTTATTTTGTATCCAAACACCACCAGCGAACCTACACATCTTCTTTTTATATTGTTATATGTAATGTTGATCATGTTAAAATAGGCTAATCTGAATGTTTTCTTTTTGCTTTATTATGCCCTGCAAGTGTCTCTCCACCATGACTCAAGTTAAGAAAGTACATTGTAGACCAAAACTCTTTTTATGTCTCAGACAGTGCATTCATAACCATTTCATGTAAAAACTTTATGTCATGCAGCTTTTAGAGCTACTAAATGCTTCAGCTGTCTGGTTCCTGTCATTACCACAGAAAACAGTAAGTTTCTCTTGAACGGAGCATTTCACACCAAACCACTCTGAATTGCTTTAAACATTTAAACTTTAACTATGCAGATTTAAGAAATATAAGTGGGATTCCCCTGTAATGAGCTTTAATGGCTATTTATATGGCTATTTATATTCACAGAAGCTTCCTGTCTGGTGATGTGAAGCAGGCTAGTAGGTTTCAAAATGCAGCACATGATGCCACGTTCTAAAGAGATTTAATACAGATGTGAAACAAAATCATTGAAATCTACTATTCTGGAATGGGTAACAAAGCTGTTGCTAAGGCTATGGGTCTCCAGCGAAAGACATTGAGAGCCATTATCCACAAAAGGAGATAACTCCCAGGAGTGGCCAGCCTGCCAAAAGTTTCACCAAGAGCGCATAGACAACTCATCCAGGAGGTCACAAATGAATTGCTATATTCTGAAGAAAAATGGAAATATTCATGTTGGGTTAAAAGTCCATACAAAGTATGGTTGCAGATTTAAACCCTGATTTTAATACTGTCTTGTTTTTTGCTTGTCTTAATGTTTATACACCAGAGAAGTAGCTAAAACATGTTTTGTTATACTCTACCCCTGTATATGTATAATGAAACTATAACGTTGAATTGAATTGTTTTTTCAGTGCCGCCAGTTCAGGTAGATACTTCCAGACTACTCTGAAGCTCACAAAAGTTTTACGAGAGGACTTCTTCACCACTTTGACCAGTATAGCACTGAATTCTGCTGGGTTTGACAAGAGAACCACAACCATGTGTGGGTATTCTCTATTTCTTTTTCTTTCTCATTCCATTCCCTTTGCTTTTTTTTCCTTCTCTGTTTTTAAGTCAAAATTATTGGGAAAAAATGTGGTTGTTAATAACTCTTTTTTCCTGTTCAGGCAAATTGATTTTTTAGAAAAGTCGTGAAGAAAGAATGGCAGTGTGGTGTGTAGCATGGGATGTCTTCAGAATGCACTGAAGAGCACTCTATAAATGATTTACATATTTTGTTGTTATGTAGGTTAATTGTGATAATGCTTACCATGTGCTATTGCTGTTTAATGCATAAAATGACTGAAAGCTATTTGCAAATAAACAGCAATTAGTAAAAGGTATATGTTTCATATGTTTTATGAAGTTGACTTATTGATATTCATAACATTTTAAAAATGCAGAATACTTTCAATGTATGCTTTAGTATCATTTCAATCTGTTGTACTGTCGCGAAATGTTTAGCTTAGGGTCGTAAGATATGCTCACCGTAAATAAATGTAACATTCAGCCATGATAAATGGCACCGTATTGGTTGTAGGTTGATTGTGTTTATTTGGCAAATGTAAAATGAGCAAGGAATTATATTTTTAACAATATGAAGTTTTGTACAGAGAGCTAACTCAGTAAGTCAGGCTTTTTTTTCAATAAACCTGGCTAAGTTTCATCAATTTGGGCTCCACGAAAGAAGCTAATCTTAAGCCCCACCAAGCTAAAGTTGAGGCTTGAGTGATCAATTAGACATTCAGGCTACAGGCCGCGCCCTACGAGAGTTGCCTTGATTGCGCATGCGTGATGTGGTCTTGTTTAGAGACTCAAACCCGCGAGTTTCCAGTACTTTGTGAACAAAAATGCCAACAACCATTAATTAGCCGCCATTTGTGAATGTTTCTCCAAAACAACAGATAGTACTTAGTCAGGTGAGGAAAAAATGTAATTCACGGTGTTAAAGTCGTCTTTTTCTTAATTTACCTCTCTTTTTTCACTTTTCGGCACTGACTGAACGCAGTTTATATTATATCAGTTAAACTGGGCTGTGAACTGCAGGCTAAATGTCGTGTTAGCGAGGCTGGAGCTGTTTTCCACACAACTGAAACTTATTTATGAACCACAAACAGAGACTTTCATATAGACATGGTGACAGAATGAACCTGTGAACCTGTTTCTGTCGAAATTGTAGCCCAGCTCAGTACACAGTATTTTACTGTGCTCACTGTAAACCGTCAGATGATTCAAAACTCGGGAGTGTTCGATTCACTTCAGCAAGCTGTTCAAAATGTCCGCAGAGTCAGTAAAGTGAGTCGACTCAGCAAAGTGACTCGTTTGCTTATAACGAGTTCAGACCAGCCCATCGTTCCCTCCCCTCGTTATCACGCGCACTCGCGCTATGCAAATGTTGCCCCCCTCCTGTGGTGTGTTCTGCAGCATGTGTCTTTTCTCTTTCCTCACTTCTATCGACCAGTTGGCTCTCTGGACACTCTGGACAGCAGCAGGAGGACTGTGCAGCATGGCTCAGTGGAGGCTTACTCTCACACTTACAGCTCTTTACGTCTTCGTTTGGCGAGGTAAGTGAGAGAGAAAACCTACTGGATTCCTCTGCTTGACAGCACATTTGTAGTTTTAAAAACACAGCTGGAAAGTTTTGGCTGCGAGTGATGCCCAAAGTGAGCAACAGATATTACATTTGGAGTTGTGTATAGACTGCCGGTGATTCTAATGAGCATCCAGTTATATTACAAAGTAAAGCTCTTACTGTGTAACGGTTTGCAAATGTCTGATCACCTGTTGGTGAGATGTTGGCATTTCAGTTTCACGTTTGTTTGATGTGAGGTGGATGATTTTGAAGCAAAGTAAACTCACGTGCTTGATAGATTGGGACCCTTAAAGAAGTAAGGCTGCCAAGAAATATGAATGACTGAATTTATTACTGGGAAGCATAATTACTGTATTTTAGGGATTCACCGACATGGGAAGTGGGCCAATATCCAGTATTTTACATGTATGTATCTGCTGATGCCAATACAGATACCTGGTGAAGAAATGTAGAAATTGGGACTAAATCTACCTGGATCAGCATTATGGAGAAATGTAATGTATATTATATTACAACGTATATTTTATATATACAGTATCATACCATATCGGTTTGAAATATCACTCACATCTAAACATCTGTCCGTTGCTAGTAATTGTTTTTAAACAATTATCAGCCCATACTGATGTTATCCAGATGTCATTGTGTGTTCATAATTTATTCATATACATTGTGGAACATATTTACTTACATACAGCATGTAAACAAATGAGTATGTTTTCTGATTTGATATTTTTTTCTTTTTAATATCACATAAAGTGTAACATTAGAGAACATAGAACATAAAAAGGCGATGCTTCTCTAACAACCACTGTGCAACATAACAAATGTCCTGCATGACAGATGACGAGTGTATTTGGTGCATGTTTGTTGTCTGGACACATCTGAGTTTGAGTCAGGATGTGTGCAGTGAAATCAGTGACAGAACTGTCTTGCCTTGTTCCACACACCTCACAGACCACGAGACTGCGTCTAAATGGAGCCTTGCTTGTGAGGCTTGCTTTGATAATATCATGATCAACTGGGTTATTATCAAGATGTGGGAGAGAGAGAACACTTTTAAACTAGGTTTAATGAACATATACCCTGCTGACTGCTGAACTGCCCCAGGCTTGGTTGTGTTTGCCGTTTGTTAAACAAGCCCATTTATCATGTCATTCATCACAGGTTCTTTGTTAGGTGTTTTTGTAGCAGGGAAGGATGTTGAGTGACAGTGGCATCCTCAGCAGCATTGTTCCAATTTCAAGGTGTTTGATATTTTACGTCAGTGATGCCATTTCCTTTCGCTCCCTCTCCTCTTTTTCTAACTTCCTTATCCTTAATCCCCTGAATGTCCTGGTATGCTGAACCCTTGCTAAGTGCTTCTCCTTATTGTGCAGACCTCCTGTTTGAGCTCATGTTCCGCTTTTGTCTGTGGTCTCACACTTCTCTTAAGTTAATCACATGCCTTCTTTGGTTTTCTGCAATACTCCTTATCTAATTTGCCCTCCTTCTAAGGGTGGAGCTGTTTCAGTACAGTATCAAAAAAAATGAAAAATGAACATATGAAGCTTGAAATTTTAAACTATTGCCGATGCGCACCTCTACCCTCTACAAGGGTCTCTCATCTGATGTCTTTCATGGAAACCACTGTCAGAGATTAAAATTAGGCATTTGGATGCATCCTGTGTGTTTCTGTTTTGTGGATTTTATAAAATCTCTGTTTTGCACAAAGACAAGCTAATTTTTAGTGTTTCAAAATAAAAGTACATTTTCTGAGCCAAACCAATCTGTGTAGCACATACATGTAGTGTAGAATCAATACACATAGAATATCCAAAAACAAATTTATTGATTTTTGACCACAAAATTGTTCGTATAGAACTCGTATAGAACTTGAACAAACGTTGTTGCACCCCTACCACTTTTTGTTACATCATTTGAACACAGGAAGTTGGGGGCATGCCTTAATTTTTTATCTGCCCATTTTCAAAGTTAGCCTGAGGTTTTGGAGATCACTACATAGGGCAGGTCTACTCTTGTTGCGAAGAATGAATGAATGGTTTGAATGATTAAAATCATCTGAAATCACTGTTGTATCAAAACGTTGTATCTTTGTAACAGTAACTTTATAGGAGAAGCAAAAAAGTTCTTAACGTTAGTGAATGTAAAGAGCGTCTGATCCAGGTAGTTCTGGACCATTTCTGTCTGTTTAAACATCATGAAAAGTTCACATGACGTGAAAGGCAGCTGGCATTGTCAAATGTTTTAAAAACAGAAAAAACAGAAAAGTATGTTTCAAGCTTTTTATCACCATGACGGTATATGGGACCAATGGGCCCATGGTTACACTTCAAATTCATGGTGTCCTTCACTCAAAACTACGCCCATGGATGCTGACATTACACTGGTAGTGTCCCCAATCTTTTTTTACTTTTCATAAAGAAATATGGGGATGTGGTATCACTTTTTAATATCTAAATGACAGTGTAACTTCATGTCCTCTACAGTTGGTCTTGTTCGTTTAGCACACCATGTTTAAACAGTGATTGACAAGAAGACTCGTCCCAAGTATGCCACATGCTCAGCCCTCTGTCTCTCTGTAGTTGGAACTCATTCAAATGTCTAAACTAATGTCTGTGACAGAGGTTAGGTCATAACGTGCTGCTTGTTGCTATCTAGGCTACCTATAATAGGAAGCACATTTTATAGCTGCAGTATCTCTGAGCCTGTATCAGTCAAGTCTGGCTGGCTAAATGTGACATTGACTGTACAGCAAATAGAGAACAGAATCTTTAGGCAGTTGAGTTTTACCTTATGAGAGCAACATCGGTGCTTCTAACTCAGCCTAAACCTAATAAATTAACTTTCTACCTGTAGTTATCAGCAGCTGCCATATTTAACCCTTAGAAATCACAGTAAGTCGCCAGTGATAACAAAATCTATGACATATAATAATAATTTGCTATCAGTCACATCCCACACACAGCTCATTGAAACATGCAGGGAAATTATGTTGAAAATGATTATAAACTTTCAGTCCATTTTTGTTCAATAGTAGATGGAGAGATATTGCATTATGATTTGAATTAAGTTATTGTTGTGTATGCAGTCATACATACATCATCTAAACCGCTTATCCTTCTGGGTCGCGGTGGGGTGCTGGAGCCTATCCCAGCTGTCATTGGGCGAAAGGCGGGATACACCCTGGACAGGTCGCCAGTCTATCGCAGGGCAGACAGACAGACATACACATTCACACCTAGGGGCAATTTAGTGAGTCCGAATAGCTTAACTGCATGTTTTTGGACTGTGGGAGGAAACCAGAGCAGGTTCTCTGGTTTCCTCCCACAGGAAACCCACGCAGACACAGGGAGAACATGCAAACTCCACACAGAAACGACCCTGGTCGCCCGGCCGGGAATCGAACCCCGGCCATTCTCGCTGTGAGGCAACAGCACTACCCACTGCGCGAGTGTATGCAGTCATGTTTTGCAGTCATGTTTTGCAGAAAGTTAAAAACCTCTAACATTTTTGTAATTTCTTGACTAAACGTACAATCAGAAATGCAGATGTAGACACAGACTGTGAATCAGACATCAGCCTTATTTATGGCGTAACTCACTGTGTAATTAAATATGTAATAACATAATTACATTTGAATAGTACAGCAAAAGCACAGTAATAACTCTCAGTGTCTCAGGGTTAAAGGAGATAGTGTAGTGCTGTGTGTATGAACACATGCAGACCACTCCCAGAGCAATTTGAAATAGTCTCATTGCACAAAGACTCTGTGAATGGACTTGCTATTGTTTGTGTCTCCTAAAGGATGCCCCCACTTCCTGACTTATCAAAGGAGTAACACAGTGGGATCCCAGCAGTTTTTGCCACAAAGAGAAAATATGCCTTCCTCCATGACACCATCTAATTATGGGTGAATTGCCATCCCATACTACTGCAGTGTATCTGATATGGAGCATCCTTCCTCACGTCCCATTACAAAGCATTCTTACAAAGAGCTGTGGAACAACAGTAAACTGCTTTGTGGCTAATCTTCCTGGGAGATAAGGCATTGTAGATCTGGGCAGTGTATCAGCAGAACGCTACTTTAAACAGAAGTGATTATATTTCCCGTTGGCGGGAGAAAGAGTCTGGAATGTCTAAAAATATTTCAGCGTACAACTCTCCAAAAATGAGCATACTTACTAAGAAATAAAGATGCCAGAGAGAACCATAAAGGGTTCTTTAGGGCGATGCCATGGAATAAGGACTTTTTGTTTACCTTGAGAATCATACAATGAATTTTTGTTTAAAAAAGCGTTTTAAAATGAGATGTGCAAGTTTAAATTATCTCCACATAATGTAAAGGTTCTGTACTTATTAAGTTACTGTACAAGTCAAAAACAGCTTTATTTTTTTAAGTGTGCAGTTGGTTAATACTAGTAGATCTAGTAAAATAGCAGACATTAGTGAAAAGATTAGTCATTTTGTTTTGTCTGTTTTTTGCTAGGCCAGTGCTTTTCACTTTGTTTGGCTAAGTCAATTCATTTGATCTTACAGGCCTGAAATGATCATAAATTTTTAGCTCAGGATTAACTGCCACATAGATGATTGCAATTAACAACCTAATTGTCCTTTTTATGCAACTATTGAAGTACAAGCCAAATAGCTCATTAGCTATCTTGCTTCCTAACTGTTGATACTTAAATGCTATCAGTTGAGGAGCTCAAATAAACAAACATACTCACTGCTGTCCTCTAAAGGTGTTATCAACTGATGTTATCAAATACACAGACATTACTCACCGCTGTGTTATAGCACCAGGCAGAAGTCAGAGCTTTTGTTGTTTTTGTGTTTAAATAAGATTAAATAATTGCAATCAGTTTGAATATTTTTGATCAAGTGATTATATAATAATTTCTATAGGCCTATATGGACACCACATACTGAAAACAAACCAAAAATAATGAACTGAATATACCGTAAATGGCC